GGGGGGGCTGGAGGGCGGGACGGTGCCTGGGGCCTGAGGATCTTGGGCTGCCAGGGGTGCTAGCTCAGTGGTCAAGTCTAACGCTGGCTGGTGGGAACTGGCTTCTGCCTGCTGGTGTTTCTTGTAGAAGTGCCCATTGCTGGGCGTCCCAGGAGAAGGGCCCTCGGTTGCTGTGTTTTTAGCCTTGAACCTAAGTCCAGGCAAGCAGGATGGCTGTCGAGGGCCAAGTGTAGGCATTAACTCCAGTGGGTGTTTAATGGCAAGCCTGTGGAAAATTCTCAACTTCCCCCTTAGGGGAAGGACTTAGGCAAAGACCTGGAGCTTAGAGGTGGAGGTCAGTCGTGGTCTCATTGAGTGGATGTGAGAGAATGTGTGGACACTGTGTTGGGGATGTGTCGGTCGGGGGTGGGGTGGGGTGGGGGGTGTGTTTTAATACAAACACCTCTGACGGGCCCCTCGTACTCGGCACTGGAGCAGAGCGTGCAGACCCAGCTGTGGACATGGCTGGAGGGCTTGGCACGTAAGTTCTGCATCACCTTGGCAGGCAACATTGCTCTTGGGGTCTCTTTGAAATGACCACTCTGGCTTTCAAGATAGTCTTCTCTAAATGATCCCAAATAAATCTGTGTTTAAACTAGAACTTACAGACACATAACTAAACAGAGCCTGGGAATGTCCAAATGTGGGCAGCATAAAACCAGTGAATCCTGCCTGGGTACCCCATGAAGCTCACGGGGCCTTCTGAAGTGGCCCCCTGCTTTCCTTTGCCCAGATGGGACTGAGCTTCCTGTTATGATCTACTTTGAGGCATAAGTGAGATACAGACACCAAACGAAGCCTGTGTGTCCCTGCAGTCCCTAAACGACTGTCAGATCAGAAAGCCCAGTTCAAAATCACGAGCCTCCCTGGTACACAGGGACTAAGTCTCAGTGCTCTCACTGCAGCCTGAGTTTGATCCCCGGCCAGGGAGATGACCCACACGGCACGTAGACCTCTCTTGTCTCAGCCACTGCTCCCCTCAACAGTGGATTTCAGTAGATCCTCTTGTTCTGATCCCCACTGTCTCTGGTGAATCCTCTCCTCCCCCTACATCCCACACCTCTAGCCTACACCCCAGTTCTTGTATGCACAAAAAATTGAAATTGTCGTAAAGTCACTGTGACCGTAAAGTCTCAGCAGCCCCTACCCCAGGACAGCACAACACATTGTCCCTCAGTCAAAACCTTCCGTGCCTGCGGACATTAGTCGGCAGGACTTTCTCTACAGCTCATGTCAAGTTCTCTACCACATACTATTCCAAAATAAGGAAACGAAGCCCCAGAGGAAATTATTCAATAAAGCTTTTTACAGTAGAGAAGCCATTTTTATTAAAGAATAGACGATAGCTTTTATGATTTAATAAATAAGTATTTTCTTTCACTGAAAGACAGTGTTTGTGACGTTTACCTCTGGTTGATGAGATTGTGGTTTTGTTTTTATCCTTCGTACTGTCTTTTGTGTGTCATTTTCCACAGTGAACACATATTACTATTACTGTGAGAAAAGTCAGTTTGTAAAAAAGACACATGCTTAGAGTAAAGGAGATTCTGACTTTACCACTACTAATGTTTCATGGTTTTAGCTGGCATTCTTGAGGGAGAGAAAAGAGCAGAAAGTTTGTCTGGAAAATACCGGTTGGGAGGAAGTGTGTCCATGTCTTTTGAGACTGCTTTATTCTTTTTTTTTTTTTTTTTTATTAAAAAGTTTATTTTTACATCATTTTTCACATTTTTTTTTTCATCTCAATTGTAATCCCCACGGGGAGACTGCTTTATTCTAATAGGCTGCTTTCTGTCGAGGTCAGCCAAACGCGGAGGCTGACCCTCCCGCACAGCCTGGGGTAAAGGTCTAAAAGAGCAGTTCCGTGGCATGTGGTACACAGAATCATAGCAGTCGGTTGGCACTGGCCTGCTTTCCTATGAAACGGTAAAAATAAATGCTGCAGCACCTGTGCTTCTAGAAAGAACATGTCCATTAAGAAATGGGGAGAGAATGCTTAAAGCTCTAGATGTCTTACATGGCAATCAGTGAAATATTACATCCTCTCAGACCCGGCTCAAATACATCTTAAGTACAAGTCTTGAATATGTACCTCCCGTGGTAAATTCTCAATATATGGCTTTTTAATGTAATTTAATAGTGTTTGTAACACAATGCCAGCTTTACCCGGCTGGGAGGACAGGCCCCTGTTGACAACTATTCCAGGATCCTTAAGGCTGAGGATTCTACATGTGGGGAGGAAGGACACCACTGGGATGTCTGCAGAGGTGTCCAGAACTTTCTCACCATGAGTTACTGGACAAGGTATCTGCTGTTGCATCTCAGGAGATGTGGCAGAAAGTATGGAGAGCACCCAGTATCCCAGCTCTTCCTGCACGAGAATAACCCAAAAGTGCCTCACACCATTGGCCTGAAAAGAGAGAGTGGCTGGCTGTGGCTGGATTGAACTGGGAAGCTATGGGATATGTACGTGCTGGTGGTCTGATCAGCCAAAGAAGCAGGTTATACATGCTCTTAACTGTTGGATCATCCCCTAAAATTTCCAGTGTAACCCAAGGCCTTCCCTTTCCGAGAGTCTCCTGATTATAGAATCTGCAAAACCACATTCATCATCCATTCCTATGGTGATGATGTGCAGACAGATTTTCCCAAATCTTCTCCACCAGGAAGTCAGTCATGTCTCTCACATCTACCTCAATAGCAACTTTTGGGGCACATTCCCCATTTTGAGCCTATCTGCAGTGTTTCCTTAGGTTTTTTTTATATATATATTTATGCATACAGAACTGGGGTACAGGCCAGAGGTGCAGGGGCGGTGAAAGGATTCACCAGAGACAGAGTGGGGAGCAGAACAAGCAGATCAATGAAGTACACTGCTGAGGGGAGCAGCAGGTGGGTAAGGAGAGGTCTGCCGCGCCATGTGGGTCACCTCTGGGGCGGGGATTGAACATGCACTGAAGTGAAGCAGCCAGCTTGCAGTGCTGTGTTTTAACCCATTGTGCCATCAGAGAGGGCCAGTCTCCTTAGTTTTTATAGTAATCACAGCTCTTTTTCACAGGTGTATTTTATCAGTTTGCACAATGTATTCATGTTGTTGTACAATGACAATGAACAGTACACCCGGATACACCTGTGATATAACACCAGACACTTAGCTGCTTGGAGCTCTGTCCACCAGGACAAGGCCTGGGCTGTGGGTCACGTTTGTCAGGTGGCGAGTGTCCTCCAGTATGTTTCACAGAGATCACCTGGGCATCCAGTGTCCGAGGTCTTGCCCCCCATGACCCTGTCAGGCAGGGGCTACATTCCCCTGCCCTGTGGGTACCCCGTGTACCTGGGCCACCACGGGCCCAGTACTGCTGTCGGTGTTTACAGCAGAAAGTCTGAAGGGAAAGAGAGCCATGTCCAGGTCAACCTGAGCCCCTGGCCCACCCCCCAACTCGCCCCCATTCTCATAGCTGTGAACAGAGGGCCATGCTGTCACACGTCCACACCCAGGCCTGCCCTGAAGGCCAGGGTGCTACCGAGGGCAAGGATGAGCAAACATAGTTCTGATCGGAATTTCTCAAATGCATACAGTAGAGCCTTGCTGTGATAATAGGGACCATGGATATCATTCGTGTTCATCCATGTCTGGAAAACGGGGTGTCTGCAAAGAGTCTATTAAATGTACATGGGAGAAAGGACATGATCAAAGACCCAGGGTGGGGGAGAGAGGGCATCATCAGATGGGGTTTGATTTTCCTAAAGGTGTTGAGCCACTATAATTAATCCGCTGTTCTTGGTCCTG